GTGGCCCCATTGGGAGCTCGACCGAAGGCCCCACTGGCTGCGTTCGCATGGCGGCACCGCACCCATTTCGGCACACCCCTGACACGTTTCGTGGCCCCATACGGAGCTCCACCGAGGGCCCCCGTGGCTGCGTTCGCATGGCGGCACCGCGCGAATTTCGGCACACCCCTCACACGCTTCGTGGCCCCATAGGAAGCCCCACCGAAGGCTCCAGTGGCTGCGTTCGCATGGCGGCACTGCGCTCATTTCGGCACACCCCTCACACGGTTCGTGGCCCCATGGGGAGCTCCACCGAGGGCCCCAGTAGCTGTGTTCGCATTGCGGCACCGCACCCATTTCGGGACACCCCTCACACGTTTCGTGGCCTCATAGGGAGCTCCGCCGAGGGCTCCAATGGCTGCGTTCGCATGGCGGCACCGCGCTAATTTCGGCACACCCCTCACACGGTTCGTGGCCCCATAGGGAGCTCCACCGAGGGCTCCAGTGGCTGCGTTCGCATGGCGGCACCGCGCCCATTTCGGCACACCCCTCACACGCTTCGTGGCCCCATAGGGAGCTCCACCGAGGGCCCCAGTGGCTGCGTCCGCATGGCGGCACCGCGCACATTTCGGCACACCCCTCACACGTTTCGTGGCCCCATAAGGAGCTCCACCGAAGGCCCCAGTGGCTGCGTTCGCAGGGCGGCACCGCGCCCATTTCGGCACCCCTCTCACACGTTTCGTGGCCCCTCTATGGAGTTCCCTCTCATTCGCTCAACCTGCTTTGCGGTACTCGCAACTGCATATGGTTGGGTCCATCGCCAGGATAATTGTTATTTGTTTTCTTCTCCTTCTTCTTCTTCTTCCTGCTACGCAAACATGGGGTGGGATGGCGTATATTGCAACATCGCTAGACGCATCTTGGGTTGGGCCTGCTCCTCCGCCTCCGCCTCCTCTTCCTCCTCCTCCTCCTGCTCCGCGTCCTCCTCCTCCTCTTCCTCTTTCTCCTCCTTCTCCTCCTCCTCCTCCTCCCTCCTCCCTCCTCCTCCCTCCTCCCTCCTCCCTCCTCCTCTTCCTCCTCCTCCTGCCGTCCCCCCCCCCTCCACCCCTCGTCCTTTTTCGGGACTCCTCCCTGTCGCACCGCCAAGCGTTTCGTTCGGGCGGGCTGGGCGATTCGCCGAAGACTTACTTACGATCCTTGCGCTTCACGCCCCCTGCAATAGACGGGTGCAGGGCGCATCGTTTCCAACTCGTGTTTTTCGCCATCGCGCCGAAGGCATTCGTTTTTGCACACTTCCACGAGTTACACGGGTGGAGAGCAGCTCGGTTTAAAGACTGGGTCTGTGCGCTGGAAGTCCTGATATCATTCGTCCAGCAGCCAACGCATGCGCAACAGGTTCATGACCGGGCCGAGGCTCCAGCTCGTAATGCTGCCCTCGCTTGAGGCTTCCTCAAGCCTTGGGATTCGAGGTATACGCCGGTGGGGCGGGCGGGGTCGTGGGGCGGGGAGGGAAGGGGAGGAGGGAGGAGAGGAGGGGGAGGAGAGGGGAGGAGGGGGAAAGGAGAGGAGGAGAGGGGTGAGGATGAGGAGAGGAGAGGAGGGAGGTAGGAGAGGAGGAGGCGGGAAAGGGGAAGGGGGAGAGGAGTGAGAGAGGGAGGGTGGAGGAGGGGGGAGGAGGGGGAGGAGGGGGATGAATAAACAGGTGTTCAGAGGGAGGAGGAGGAGGAGGAGGACAGGGCGGCCCCTCCTCTGGAGCTCTCGGCTCCTGCCCCTGCGCGGTCCCTGCCGCTGGAGGGGCGCACGGCGGCTCCTTCTCCCCAGCGGGGCTCTCGTCGGTGACCGGCAGGCCCTGGGGGCGCCGAGTCTTTCTCGTGCGAGCGGCTCCCGTGGTGAGCAGGACCTCCTCCAGGGACTCTCGGGGAGGGGGCTGTGCTGCAGCAACGCTGCTCTCGAGGAGGGGACTTTCGAGGAGGGGACTTTCGAGGAGGGGACTTTCGAGGAGGGGACTTCCTCCAGGGACTTTCGAGGAGGACTTCCTCCAGGGACTTTCGAGGAGGGGACTTTCGAGGAGGGGACTTCTCCTGATCCCTCTCCTCTCCGGTCTCTTCTTCCTCCTCGGGTCCCGCGTGCGCAGGCCGTGCTCATGATTATAGAGTTGCGCACCATGTGTGGTGAGGAAGTCGCGCTGCAGCCAGAACGTGGCGATCATGCGGGTACCAACAGAACTGTGACAACATCAGCTGTGCTCCGCTGCCGCTGGGGGTGCCAGCGCTTTCCGTGGCGCGGTATGAGCGAACAACAACACCAATTATATCAACATAGTTTTTTTTTTTTTTTTTCGGAGGTCCGCGCGGATTTCTTCGGTCGGCGCTGGACTCTCCCCTCCCATGCGCGGAGCGCCGGGGCACCGCAAGGCGGGGCCCAGCGCCGACCCAAAACGTCCGCGCGGACATCCGAGAATTCCCACCAGCCCTTTAGGGCGTAGGTGGTTTACGGAGTTCCCTCTTCCTTCCCCCTTCTTCCCCTTCGGGGAAGGGCTTATCACTGCCCCCTATTAGTGTACACCCCCTCCCCCAGGCGACTGGGAGGCAACCCAGGTCCATGCGGGCCCCCCCCCACCATCCCGTGTACAACAACAATACAAAACACACTCTGCCCCGACCACCCCTGGTACAAAAAACAATGAAAGACACACTCTGCCTCCAAATTCGGAGCATGTGCAGCGAACCCGATGCGGCCTCCTCCCACCATCCCTGTCGACAAACAGTACAGGGTACACTTGGCGGCGGCGGCGGCGGCTGCGGCGGGGGCAGCGGCTGCGGCTTCTGCGGCGGTGGCGGCGGCGGGGGCGGCGGCGGCAGCCGGGGCGGCGGCGGCGGCGGCAGCGGTGGCGGCAGCGACTGCGGCGGCAGCGGCTGCGGCGGCGGCGATTCGGCAGCGGGGGCGGCGGCGGCGGCGGCGGCGGCGGGCGGCGGCGGCGGCGGCGCGCGGCGCGCGGCGCGCACGGCCGGCGCGGGCGGCGGCGGTGGCGGCGGCGCGGCAGCGGATGCGCCCCCAGTAGCTGCCCATTCAAACACGACTGCTGCATATGCTGCGGCTCGGGCCAGGCTCGGGTGCTACGTATGTGTTGGGAGGGCGGGTGGGAGTGAGCGAGACGGCTTGCGGGCGGGGAGGGAGACTCTTGATCACTGCTCCCTATTAATAAACACCCCCTCCCCCAGGCGACTGGGGGCCAACCAGGGACCATGACGACCCCCCCACAATCCCTTTTAAACAAACAATGCAAAACACACTCTGCCTCAATTTCGGAACTTGCGCACCAATCCCCTGCCCCCCCGCCCTTCCCTTCAAAATGAATACAGTTACACTTCGACGGGCGCGGCTGCGGCAGCAAATTCGGACCATAGCCACCAACCCGATGCCCCCCCCCTCCACCAAACCCAGTCACAAAACAATAAAATACTCTTGGCGAGCGGCGCGGCGGCGGCGGCGCTACGCGGCGGCGGCAGCGGCGGCTGCGGCGCGCGCGCGGCGGTGGCGGCGGTGGCGGCGGCGGCGGCGGTGGCGGTAGCGGCAACGGCGGCGGCGGCGGCGGCGGCGGCAGCGGCGGCGGCGGCGGCGGCTGCGGAGGCGGCGGTGGCGGCGGCGGATTGGCCCCCAGTAGCTACCCATCCAAAGACGACTGCTGAATGTGCTGAGGCTCGGGCCAGACTCGGGTGCTACGTATGTGTTGGGAGGGCGGGTGGGAGTGAGCGGGACGGCTTGCGGGCGGGGAGGGAGACTCTTGACCACTCCCCCTCCCCCCTCCCCTGGACCTGGACGGGGGGTTCCGCGGGTAGCTGGAGCGTCCAAAACGGCCTCGGCGAGGAAACCAAAGTCACTGGTTCTACTAAGGTTTTAGAAATCTGTTGATCAAGCTTTTTGCCCTTCGAGAGGTGCCGCAGGATCAGTAGCTCGGTCGAAACGCGCGCCGAAGCGCCAGCCAACGCCAACAGGGCAACATCACGGGGCGGCCCGCAGGCTCTCAGTAGCCGCTTCTCGAACGTCCAGAGACACGCCACAAACATAAATTATTGGCGCTCCGTGCGGATTTCTCGCTCCTCCTCCTCCTCCTCCTCCTCCTCCTCCTCCTCCTCCTCCCCTCCCCCCCTCGTCACAAAGTGATGCATCGTCCCCCCTGCTGACAATTCACAATTTATGTTTGTGCCGCTTCATGTGCGGCACATGGCTGAGGAACACTCCCACAAGGCAGATGCGCGCAGGAATCAATCTTAGGTCGGGCATGTCCCCCTACGGGCCGATTTTGGACGACAAATAAAACATAGTCAACACTGGTCAACATAGAAACAGACATAGCCAAACAAATCGCCCCCAAGACTACTTTTGGACTATTTCTGCATACTTCTCCATTTGAGAGACGCGCCCGACTTACAATTATTAGTCATTGACGTCGGAATTCTTCGCACAGGGGGACGCGGGGAATGCGAGGGTGTGGGCATATCTTCTGGAGCCCCAGACCTGGTCGAAATCAATGCGCTCCCCTAAAACGCCAGGCACGGCACCCCTGGTGTGGTGGAGGCCGGCCGACATTCAGGCATACAATTAAGTCGGGCATGTCCCCCTACAGGCGGATTTTGGACCGAAAAAATAAAAAGACTCAAAACATACCCAAGTAGTCAAACATACCCAAAACATCGTCCCCAGGCTTACTAGTTTTGAACATTCCTCCTGTAGAGGGACAGGGCCGACTTAAGGCATAAACATGGCACGCGGTGTCGTTCGGCGGAGAAGTCAGCTCTGGCAGCCGACTCCCAAAATGACCAGGGAGCTGCTGGTCCAGAGGTTTGGAACGGTGAGGGACCCCACATGGCTCGAAGGCTCCTCACACACCTCGAATGTGCAGAAGTACAGCCCACCCCTGATCTCTCGATCGGTGTATGAGTTCGGCCCGATTATGCAGAGAGACATAATGCACGAGAGCGTGCCCCTCCAGATTCGCTCTTTGGCACTCCGCTAGGCGCCGTCGGGGGAGCAAGATTGCTCGGCAATGGCGCCGGCGCCGTGGATCTTCTCGAAGACCCCGGAGCTCACCTGAGTCGGTGAGATGATGACACCAGGCAGACTGGACCCCCCCTCAGTAAGCACACTACGTTCTAATAGTTCGAACACCCGGAGTGGGCTGGTGCCAGTACAGGATCTTGCTGTTGACCTGAGGAGGCCCGATGGGGCGATGCTTGCGCCACTTAGGAGGTCTCAACTGCTGGCACAAAGCCGTCAGCAAACGTCGGATACCGAAGCGGACCTGCAGAACCGACCCAGGCCATGGCTTGGCTCCTGCACCTTCTGAGCTTATTGGCAGACCCACGTCGCAGCATATACATGATTGTGATCATAATCCTTGCTGTAAGCAATCTAGGGACACATTTCCCGCCAATATCTAAACTGTCTGGGGTGCCCCAAGATTTCATCAAGATCCCAACGTTCTCGACCTTACATTTCCCTGGGGCATCCGCCGGCAAACCGATTTTTTCGATGTGCCGCCATGGAAGAAGCGTGCCCCGAAGAGAACGAATCCTCTAGTTCCCCCCGGGGCCCTACCCATGACCTGCTGCTCATCTTGGGCCGCTTCATGGCGGTCCCCGGACCCGAGGAGCGCGCCAGATGGGGCCGAAAGCGGCGAATGACTTCCAGGCCTTCTTCCAGGACCCGTCTTCATGCTGCAGTCAACACCTACGATTCAAATCAAGTCATGCTATCAGAAGTGTGCACTCCGTCGATCTTTGAGGGTCCCACGGTGCCCTGGAGCTCCTGTAGGTCCCTGAGGCCATCTGGGGATAAGAAAATAGCGTGGGGCACCTGCTGGCTGGCCGACTTCTTATTCTATGTGTCCACCGAATTAAAGCATGCGCCTGCTGCACGACCGGGCCCGCAAGGGGGCGTGAGAACACGTCCTTCCTGCCGCTTCCGAGGCCTTCCGAGGCCTCGGCCCCAGCCGCCCTGGCGTCTGGCCAGCTCTAGGCGCCCTCCTCCTGCTGCTCCTCCTCCTCCTCCGCGCCGTTCTCCCCCTCCTCAAGCTCCTCAAGCTCCTCCTCCTCCTCCTCCTCTTCCTCCTCCTCGTCCTTCTCGTCCTCCTCCTCCTCCTCCTTCTTCTTCTTCTCCTTCTCGTCCTCCTCCTCCTCTTCGTCCACCTCCTCCTCCTCGTCCACCTCCTCCTCCTCGTCCTCCTCCTCCTCATCCTCCTCTCTCGTCCTCTCTCGTCCTCCTCGTCCTCCTCGTCCTCCCCGTCCTCCTTGTCCCTCTCGTCCTCCCAGTCTCTCGTCGTCGTCCTCCTCCTCGTCCTCCTCTTCATCCCCATCCTCCTCTTCCAACTCCTCCTCCTCCTCCTCCTCCTCCTCTTTCGGCCATGCCTTCGATCTTCGCTGCTCCCTCCTCCCCTCTCCGCCTCCTCCTCCTCCTCCTCCTCCTTTTTCACCCCTCTTCCCCGTCGATGACGTTTGCTGAGCTTGTCGCAGCGGCGGCCCTTGCGACACGCCACGCCATGCGAGCTGATGGTGTGTCGCCCCGCTCCGCTTGGCGGGACCAGCTGGCGACGCTGACGCTTGGAGACTGGGACATGGCTCGCGTGCCACGCCGAAGCGTGGTGGGCCGAAAGCGGCGTCGCGACACGCTCATCGAACGTTCCCGACCGTATGAAGCCCCCCCCCTTTGTCGCATTTTACCACACTTGTCCGTCGGCCAGGCTGGGATCGCTTGATGAAGGGGCCCTGGGACACACAAATAAATACACACAAATAACAGCATTCCCCATTTTTACCTAACAGCTTTTGCTGATAGGTTTCTAGTGGTGTCAAAAGAAAGCATCTGGACTCCACAAGGGGGTCTGGGCGGGTGCCGGGGAGGAGGGCCGGGAACAGAGCCGGGCTCGTTTTAAGCCAACAGTCACACACTTCGTGCTTTTCGACCTCCCAGAACTCCATTCCCGGGCCACATTTTAAATAACCGGGGCCAACTGTAGGCCACTTCGTGCTCTTCGACTTCCCAGAACTCCATTCCCGGGCCACATTTTGGATGCCCGGAGCCAACTGTAGGCCACTTCGTGGCCTTCTAGTTCCCAGAACTCCATTCCCGGGCCACATTTTGAATGCCCGGAGCCAACTGTAGGCCACTTCGTGCTCTTCGACTTCCCAGAACTCCATTCCCGGGCCACATTTTGGATGCCCGGAGCCAACTGTAGGCCACTTCGTGCTCTTCGATTTCCCAGAACTCCATTCCCGGGCCACATTTTGGATGCCCGGAGCCAACTGTAGGCCACTTCGTGCTCTTCGACTTCCCAGAACTCCATTCCCGGGCCACATTTTGAATGCTGAGGCAGGCTGAGGCTGAGGCGAGGCAGGCTGAGGCTGAGGCAGGCTGAGGCTGAGGCCGAGGCTGAAGGCAGACTGAGGCTGAGGCTGAAGCAGGCTGAGGCTGAGGCAGAGGCAGGCTGAGGCTGAGGCTGGCAGGCTGATGCTGAGGCAGGCTGAGGCTGAGGCTGATGCAGGCTGAGGCTGAGGCAGGCTGAGGCTGAGGCTGAGGCTGAAGGCAGACTGAGGCTTTGGCTGAAGCAGGCTGAGGCTGAGGCTGAGGCTGAGGCTGAGGCAGGCTGAGGCTGAGGCTGAGGCAGGCTGATGCTGAGGCAGGCTGAGGCTGAGGCAGGCTGAGGCTGAGGCTGAGGCTGATGCAGGCTGAGGCTGAGGCAGGCTGAGGCGGAGGCCGAGGTTGAAGGCAGACTGAGGCTGAGGCTGAAGCAGGCTGAGGCTGAGCTGAGGCAGGCTGAGGCTGAGGCTGAGGCTGAGGCTGGCTGATGCTGAGGCAGGCTGAGGCTGAGGCTGAGGCTGATGCAGGCTGAGGCTGAGGCAGGCTGAGGCTGAGGCCGAGGCTGAAGGCAGACTGAGGCTGAGGCTGAAGCAGGCTGAGGCTGAGGCTGAGGCTGCAGGCTGCGGCTGAGGCTGAGGCAGGCTGATGCTGAGGCAGGCTGAGGCTGCAGGCTGAGGCTGAGGCTGATGCAGGCTGAGGCTGAGGCAGGCTGAGGCTGAGGCCGAGGCTGAAGGCAGACTGAGGCTGAGGCTGAAGCAGGCTGAGGCTGAGGCTGAGGCAGGCTGAGGCTGAGGCTGAGGCAGGCTGAGGCTGAGGGTGTGACTGCGACTGCCGTTGCCACTGCGACTGTCATCGCGAATGCGACTACGACTGCGAGAACAGCATAATTCTACAACTGGATTCTCAGCCGAATCTTAAGGGGAATGCTTCCAGATATGCTCCTACATATCGCTGTTAGGTTGCTTTGCCGGGATAATCTTTTTATGTTTCGCGTTTTTGTCTTCCCCCCCCACTTCGCATATTTTTCAATATTTTCCTGGGAGTCGACGATTAATTGTGTCTGTGTTTTTTTTTCCCCTCCTGATTCCTTGCAACGTGCTAGCTCGAAGCTGATAAAAATCAGATAATCACGAGGATAAAAGGCCCGTCGTTCTCAGAATGCGTGTTTTTCACAGCAGCGCCGGGCGCGCTTCTGTTTGGCGGCTCTTTGAGTGCGGCCCTCGCTTGGGACTTCTTCCGATTCCGTGGGCCGATTCTTTAAAAGGTGTGCAGCGATAGCAGTCAGTCGGGTGTGTCCCCCTACAGGGGGATTTTGGACGAACGATAAAAAAATACCCCACAAATAATAAAAAAAAATCAAAAAATAGTCCGGGGACTTTTTCTTATTATTCAAAGAAAAATATTTTAATCTTCCTGGAATATTTTTGGAGTATTTTTAAATTTTCGTCGTAGATCCCCCTGTAGGGGACCACGCCCGACATAATGATAGCACGAGTGGCAGGCGGCTCGCTTTCAAGATGGGCGCCCGTAGTTTTTGCCATCAGGCCTCGTGAGAACATGTGCAGCGGCTGCGCGGGTGGAGGCCCGATCCTTGTACTGGGGCCACCGCCGGACACTCTCTAGCACCTTACCACCCTCCTGCCCTTCTGATGAGACGACGCCCGGACGAGGACAACATGGGCCAAGGACAAATCGAGAATCTCTGAGATCCGGCGGCTCTGGAGACTGTCTCGGGCGCCACAGTCTTCTCAGAGCGTTCTGGAAGGCTCTGAGAGCGTTCCGGAACGCTCTGGAACGGATTTGTCCTCGTCCTAGCTCCGTCCGATTTGAGTTTCTTTTAGCTCGGAGAATGGAGGTGGATCCTCTTACAACGGGATGTTGCCTGACGACTGGCATGTCCACATGGGCGCTCATCGTTCAAAGGGGGGGCACTCCCAACGGCAAAAAGGAATACTTATCTGTGGGGGCTTATATTGGAGGGACTTGGGACGGGATGGTGTACAGTTGGACCTGGGCCAAAAGAGCATCTTCCAAGAACAGGAGACCCCCGCCGGCCAAAACACACAGAACAGCCAAGGGTACCCTCCCCAGAATCTGTGAGATCCGGCGGATCTAGAAGATGTATCGGGCTCCGCGGCCTTCTCAAATAGATCTGGAACGCTCTAAGATCGTTCCAAAAAGCGCTTGAACGGATTTGACCTCGTCCTAGCCCCGTACGACGGTCAGGAACTTCTGCATAGCATGTCACGGCGGCGGCCCCGACGACACGCTATGCCTTGCCAGCGGATGGCGCATCGTTCCGCCTCGCGGGGCGGGTGGATGTGAAGAAATTGGGACGTTGACGCCCAGGGACCAAGAAATGGATAGCGTGCCGCGCCAGGGCGTGGTGGGCAAGAACCCGCGGCGCAACACGCTAACTAAAGCATCCTGACCGTGTTGCAGCGTCGTTCGTGCATCCTGCTTTTACTCTGGCCCACATCCCTCTACATCTCGTCTCCGTCTCCTCCTCTCCTGCCCATCCTCTCCCCCTCATGCTCTTTTCTTCCTACTCCTCCGAAGCGGCGGGGTCCTCTTCCTCCTCCTTCTCCTCCTCCTCTTTCGGTCGTCTCGTTGATATTCCATCCTCCCTCCTCCTTCTCCTGCCATTTGCCCCCTCCCCCCCCCCTCTTCCTCATCCTCCCCGTCTGGCCACCCGCGAATGCGCTGGAACGGCAAAGAGAGGGAGAAGGACGAATGATGACGACACCTATGACGATGGTGATCCGGACACCTCCGGGTGGCCGAAGCCAAGCTGCAGTCTACGGGTTGCGCCGAGCTAGCAGCCGAGGGCGGCGAAGGTGGCGTCCACGAGCCACAACACGACGACGGTGCCGTCGCGTTGCCCGCGGCCGTGCACTTGTAAGGCAGCCGCAACCTCGGCGAGCCTGATGATGATGATGATGATGATGATGATGGTGATGATGATGCTGATGACGACGATGATAATGATGATGCTTATACTGGTGACGGTGATGGATGATGATGACGATGATGATGGTGGTGATGATTTGTTATGTTCTTCCGTTCTGACCCGACAAGACTCCCTGCCCGCCCACAGACGGCCGACATCGAAATAGAGCACAACGAACTGGAATCACGGTCGCGGGGCGTATCCTGCAGAGGGTCCCCCCTCCTGCGTACTCGGGAGGCACCCTGCGCAGTCCTTGTGACAGTGGGAGTGAGAGAGTTCACTGCTCCACCCCCGTATTGGCACAGGGACGGGTCTAGAAGCATAGAGGCCCCCGCCGTCCCCAGGCCAGCATTGCACGTCCAGAAACCTGAACGTCGCCCACTGCTGCAACAAATAACGCAACAACAGCGCGTAACTGTTTGCCGCGGCAGAACCTCTCAGCACCTTCGGTGTGCGGGGAGCGCTCCCCCGAATACAACGCAGGCGCACTGGGCGAAAGGCCTCTCTGATGCAAGCCGAGAGCCTCCTCGCGACAAGACGCAACTCCAGCAGCTGTGCATCCCTCGCGGTTATGTGCTTCACAATCTGCACGACTAGCACTGCTCACTGCTGACACGACTACTGCGGCTCCCGAAGCTCGCCCAACTCCACGAAGCCCTGCGGGACCTTCCTGATGTTCGAGTTCGAAAAGACGCCCCACGTTTGAGCTCGACATCTGCGTTGAAGGCGATCGCGGCCATGATCTCGTTCGTCACGGACCCCAGCTCTGGGATGACAAACAACTCGATCTTGAGCTGAATATTGTCGCCCCGCGCCTTCTGCCGAAACGCCTTCTCTGGAAGCGAGTGATGACGTGGCCTCTGATCACCTCGACGTCGGCCTGGGCGGTCGGCGCCTGCTTCTTCTGGTCGGGGACTGACTGGTCCGCCTGCGCGAAGTTCACCAGTTCGACCCGCGCTCGATCATGGGCTGGGATCAATGCCGCCGCCTCCTCGAAAGTCGCGGCCGCCTTCTTCTCGGTGCCGCACTGCTCGGTGCTCTTCCTGGTCGGCTCGAAATGCGGGCGAAGCTCCGCCACGAGTGCCGCCCGACACAAGGCTCCCTGGATGCGCCTGTTCGACCCATCTAGGCCGACCGTGCTCTGGGCTGTGTTGATGGCCGACCCCCTCAAATCATCATCCATGCTCGCCGGGCCGACTGCCCTGTGCTGGTTTTCCGGCCAGCGCCGCCGATGCCGCCGCCGTCAGCTTGTCTATCTTCGAAGCAACTCTGAAGGCCAGCAAACACATCGTCGGGGAAGTGCTCGCGGATGTGGGCGTGAAAAGCAGGGGGGGAGTCAAAACGACTGGTGCACAGAGGAACGGGCACGTAAAATAAGCTGGGCATGAAGTTTGGCAAACCCCGAGATCGCTGAGCCGCCTCTCTGGGCAGCTCGGGGGGCCCTTCTTCCCTCGGGCCTCCAAATGTCGGCGGACAGCACCCATGCTTGAGAAACGCTGATCACACCGCGAGTGTTGGTTGCATGCAGCTGCCTGTCTCCATCGAGTACGGGTATTATGATGATGTGTTTGATGGGCTCTGAGCTGTCGTAATGCGTGGCGTCTGCATGTGCGCCAACGGCCCGTCCCCTCGAACAGATCACGCACGTGCGAACCAGGCCCTTCGTTCTACTAGCGCGTGGTTCAGGAACAGCAGCGCTGCGCCGCTGTAGAGCCCGTGGAGGTCGAAAGAGACGCGCGTCCGACGCGAATGCTTCAAACCATCCACGACCTTTCCAGAATGCTCTGTTTCACTCGACCCAGGGCCGAGAGATCTTTGACCCGGTGTTGGAGCCGCGGGTTCGCATGATGAGTTTGTTTCCCCTAGAGATAATCTGCATGTGACCGTTCCCAAAGCGACCAGTGAGCGCGGCCAGAAGTGCACCGTTGTCCTGCGCGCGTTGAGCAATTTTCCGAATCCAAGCGCGCTTTCGGTGACGCTGCGCGCTCTCGGCTCAGGGCGCGGCCATGATCGAGCTAGCCTGTTCGGTTGACAAAAAGCGGCGACGGTCTCAGTGTCTCTGGTGTCTCTGGTGTCATATTCTTTGATGCTGGCCCGACCCATCAGCAACGCCCTACCGCGATTCTAGACTGTTCGGTCCACGGGATCGCGAGGGTGCTGCGCGGGAAGCCAAGCCCCCTCTTCAGGTAAAGGTGAAATTTCACGCCGGGCCCGGGACTGCAGGACGTTTGATCTTCATTGGAATGCCCTTTTGACCCCAGGACTGTCCCGTCGTTGCCCGCCCATTCCTCGCCGCCTTCTGCCCTTCCCCGTGCTCGTGGTGCCCCCGCCCGTCCGTCTGATGATGAGCGCCTAAGTGTCGGACCACTCGCTCAGCGTCTCCAACTACCTGGAACGATCGGAATCAGGCGTTCATCTCGGTCGAACCCCCCTTCCCGAATTGCTGAAACATCGGCTCTTTCTTGTCTAGGTTCTGCCTGAGGCCCAAAGGCTCCGCTGCAGAAGCCTCGAACTGGTGACGCCTGCAATTAATTTGGCCCCGTCGGCTGGGCCGAAACGCTGTAGATCATCGGCAACTGGCGCCGGAAACGGGTTCCATGATCGTGAAGCAATTCTTCCTGCTCCGATTGGGTCTGCGCGACCCGCGGATCCGCCGCGGGGCCCAACGCCTGCCGGAAGCCATCTGGCTCAGACTGATCTCCCTGCACACCCCCGCAACATGGCGCGAACAAGCCTCGCTCCCCCGCGTCAGTCTGCGACTGGTCCACGGCGTGGCGACGCCCCCCGACCGCTGGCTCCGCGCCAGAAGCAGCAAGCAATTTAGAGATAATAGAATCGAGGGCGGAGCGAGATATCGAAGCGAACGCCCTCGCCCGATCATGTGGCGCCGCGAGCCAACCCTTGGAACAATACTCGTATCTTACGACATTCAATGCGAGCCTGCCCCGCGTCGTCGGGCTCCGCGGCGGTCGACCTGGCGGAAGGGGGGGCTCGGGACAAGCCCGCGCCAGCGGTGCGTAGTGTCTCGTTCCGGTGGTGCCATCTGCCGCCCGCGTTCTTTTAGTCGAAGGCCAGCTGCGCGAAGGTCGCGGCGGGGCCCGCCCGTCGATCAGTCGTCCAAGCGCCTGATGAATTCGAAATTTTCGTTCTCGAGCCGTGGGCGCGTCGAATTTTCTCTGGGTCTCATCGCGCGCTGCCCGTGCCCCCCTCGTGCCAGCTCGGCGCATTAAAATTCGCGGTCGATGGGGCGTGGCCCGCGTTCGCGGGGGCGCCGTCCGCCAACTGAAGTCTGTGTCGATGCGCCTCCAGCCTCGGCATCGTGCGATATGGGGAAGCGCATCTTGTGGAACAGCCATGACGTCGATCCTCGCGCGGCTGTTGCAGTGGAAGAAGGTTGGGCCGCGTCCGTTCTCGAGCCGGGCGCTGGCGAAAGCCGTCCTATGCCGATTGATCAATGGTCTATGCTGAAGGCCATTGTGCTCAACGTGCTCCGCTCCGAACTGTCCAGCTGCGTCTCGCTCGCCAAGCTGGTGCCACTTAGGGCTGATGCGTTCAAGTTCGACATGGAAGCTTCCATCCATCAGTATAGTGAGGGTGCATCTGATTGGCAGCTCTCGTAGTGCTGGGTCAATCCAAAAAATGCGTTTCTGCGACATCTTGCATTCGCTCTCATCGTTTGGAAGGCGTGGCGAGTGCGCTGATATGAAACACAATTCAAACTTACCTCGCTATAGAAACCGAAGTGAACCACCTCGTCCTTGTCGTGCTTCTGGCGGGCGCCATGAACGCGCGTGGTCGGCCCGCCCGAACGACGGCTTTTGTTGAGGTGTCAGCATGCAGATCGTCGATAGGTTGGCCCCAACCGCGTGTTTTGGTCTTCTGCGTCTCCGGGCCCGAGTCTTAAATCCCGGGGTCGGCCATAAGTGCGCGTCGTGGCCTCTCCTCGAGATCCTTGGCTCCTGCATCGTGCCGTCGTGCGGTGCCTTCTCCCGTGTCTGTCTGGCCTATGCAGGTCAAGCTGATGGCGCGCGCGCGCTGCGGAGCGCGTCGAGAACCTCACCCGGGCCCCCTTTGAGCGCAAGGACGGGCGGGTTGTACTGTGCAATCCGAAGGCTGTGCCGAGGTGCAGCAGTGGCCATGGTGAAACTGGGCGCCGTCAGAGCCCGCGACATGCGGCGGGGCACATCGCGGCTCGCCACCTCTTTCTCCGTCGGGGAACGCGCGACCCCCCCCCCTGCCCCGTGCAATGCGGGTTCGGAGTGAAGAGGCTATGGTAGTGATGCTGGTGATGAAGGCGGTGATGGTGGGCATGCTGATGGCGACGATGATGGTGGATAGTGGGTGATGTATGATGGCGACGATGACGAGGGTGATGCTGATGATGGTGCTGGTGGTGATGATGATGGTTGATGATGCACGGTGGGTGGACATGGCGATGATGGGCGCTGACCTCGGCCGCGTCGGGCACGCGCCCAGGACTCCGAAAGGTGGTGGGGCGTGCGCGGGGTGTGGGCAGGCATGGGGGGGCATCTCAACCTCGCGCCGCCCGCGGCAACCTGGCCGCCCCTCTCCGCGGCGCCTTGCGCGTCGTGGCGGCGCCTGGGCGGCCGGTCCACGCGCCGCCAGCGCCCGGGCACTGCGCGCGGGGGTCGCGGGCCCACTCGGCTCCGTGCGGCCTTTGGCGGCGCGCCCTCAACTTTTTTTTTTTTTTTTTTTTTTTTTTTTTTTGCAAGCTGTGCGGCGGGGCCCCGCAGCCCTGGGAGGACCCCCCGCGGCTTTCGCGCGGGTGCCGAGCGCGATGGCGCCATCTCATACAAGGGCGCGGAATGCGCGATCTACGTGAGCGCGTCGCGCCAGCATCTATCGTTCGTGACGTCCCTCATTGCCGCGGCTAGCCCCGAAGCAGCAATGAACTCGCACTCTGCGACAATATCGCGTCCTTGAAGGCCCGCAGCCTACCGACATGCAATGCAACGCGAATCCTCGAAGAACGCCTGCAGCCACCGCCCTCCCCCCGAGCCTTCCAGTGAAGCGCCTCCATTGAAGTACCCGCGCAACTGCGTAACGCTGCGAATAAGGAAAAAAGTTCAACGTTGTCCCTCATTCATTATTTTTGGAGGCCGGTCAACACCCAATGCAAGCCGCATTGTGTGCTCATTGGCTTCCCGAAACATATGTTTTTAACGATCGCCCCCCGCTCGCGGAGTGCGGCAGATCTTGCCAGTCAGTGCATCGGTATCATCTTGTGCACGTCGATGGTTCCGTTATACCTGGCATTCAAAAATTTCCAAAGCCCCCGCAACCGCTGTGCGATCGCCGTGCGGTACCTAGGATTTCCACCATGATTTTTGGTGCTGCAATCGACCTCGGTGGAATTTCGCACGCACGCCGCCATTGTCTTGGCTTTCCTCTCGTCCTCCTTCGCCAGATGCTCCCCATCATTTGTGTCGCAGCTTTGTTGGGGTTTGTTTACAATACGGTGCTCAAACATCAGCTCCATGAGATAATCGCGTGAGAGCGACGCCCCGCCTTGGCGTCACCAGTCGAACGTGTTCCACCAATCATTTTGCCGCGCCAGAGTCCCCATGCTCAAAGCCAAAAGCGCCAACCTGCTCTCTCTCTCTCTCTCTCTCTCTCTCTCTCTATATATATATTTATATATTGTTTGCTGCAGAAGCCTGTCGGTGTTCCGACCAGCCCCCCGCTGAGTGCATCGTACCCAATAAAACCTGAGTGGGCGTTGAGGCAGGGGCTCGTCCTCGCAGTCGGGTTCGAGCAAGTCCCTCTTCGATCCGCATCACCCGGCGCTGCGCGCTTGCGAACATTCGAAGCGTCAGCTCCTGCCGCACCACTGCTTGAAATACGCTGCCCGCTGCAGGGCGTCTGGCACACGAGAACAACTTGTGATGCTGGCAGATCCAACGCATTCCTGCACGCGCGACTTTACTTCGAACTTTCTGCTCCAGAATCTGTCACGTGCCATGTCTCTCATCTGTCGTTTTGTGTTCTCTCATTCTCTTTTGCAACTGTCTGTGTTTGCTGTGCATTATCCGTTTTACTTCTCTTCCCCGCTTTGGCCTTCAAATCCGTATCGACGACGTCCGTTCTCTTATTCTTGCTCGGGGAGGCGGCCGCAGGTTTCGGGGTGGGGCGCGTCGGGTAGGACTGGCAGCGGGCGGGCCC